TGGAACACATCATGCTGAGTGAAATAAGCCAGTCCCAAAGGGACAAATACTATATGTTCTCCCTGATCGGTGACAACTGACTGAACACCAAAAAGGAAACCTGTTGAAGTGGAATGGACACTATGGGAAACGGTGACTTGATCAGCATAGCCCTGTTAATGAACAGCTTAATACATTATCCCTCTTAGTAGTTTTTTTTGTCTGTTCTACTTAATATGACTGGTTTAATTCTGTAATTAATACACAGTTATTCTTAAGTGTTGAAATTTAACTTAAATGTGATCCCTGTTAAACATAAGAGTAGGAATAAGAGAGGGAAGAGATATATAATTTGGGACATGCTCAAGCTGACTTGCCCCAAATGGTAGAGTTAGAAACATACCAGGAGACTCCAATTTAATCCCATCAAGGTGGCATGTACCAATGCCATCTCACTAGTCCAAGTGATCAATTTCAGTTCGCAATTGATCATAATGAAAGGACTAAGAGTCAAAGGGAGCACGTAAGCAAGTCTAGTACCTGCTAACACTAACCGATAGAATAAATAAAGGGGAGAGTGATCCAACATGGGAAGTGAGATACTCAGCAGACTCATAGAATGGCAGATGTCCTAAATAGCACTCTGGCCTCAGAATCAGCCCTAAAGGCATTCAGATCTGGCTGAAAAGACCATGAGAGTATTTCAGGCATGGAAAGCCAAGACACTCTGGCAAAAGATCTCTGTGAGTGAGATCTCAGTGGAAAGAACAGGTCTTCAAAGAAGGAGCACTTCGTGATTATTTAGATGAATTTGTCTATGGCAATCACAATTGTATGAGAGGTTACAAAAAAGCAAATATTTTTCCATGGCCATCTCCAATTTTCTCCTAGTTCCTGGGATACAGTGGATCTCCCCCAGCCCTACCCTCTGCTAGCAAAGGGCCTGTTTTTTTCCTCCCTCTCTCCCCCTCTTCACCTCTCTCCCTCTCTCCCTCTCTCCCTCTCTCCCTCTCTCCCTCTCCCCCTCTCTCCCTCCCTCCCTGCCTTCCTTCCTTTTTTTTTTTTTTTTTTAAGGATCTGTTTTGCATACTTGAAAGGCCAAGTTACTGAGTACATGTGCACTGGAGTGACAGAGAGATCTTCCTTTTGCTAGTTCTCCATAACTGGCTACAACAGCCAGGGCTGGGCCAGGCCAAAGCCAGGAGCCTAGAACTCCATCCCACACGGGTGAGAGGGGCAGAGGTACTTGGGTAATCATCTGCTGCTTCTCCCAGCTGCGTGAGCAGGGAGGTGGATCAGAAGCGGTGCAGCCAGGACAGGACCTGGTGCTCATATGGACTGGCAGTGCCACAGTGGCAGCCCCAGGAGCTGGTTGTAGTTGAACGTGCAACTAATAGCTTCCTAACACGGTTGACATAATGAGCGAGGAGGTACTGAAATATTTCCTGTTTTTAAAACCTTTATCTTGCTTTCTGATATGTGGCTTGACACTTAACTCCAAAAGGTATTTAAAGCTTATTTTATTTTAAAGTCTTGCAAAGTGCATTGCTTGAACCTTAGGGACAGGTTTCTACCTGTCAAGCAGGTTTCTACAACACTGAAAAATAAGCAGAGATATGTCACAAATCTTGCTGATTTACAGTCGCTTTATTCAGTGTGCACAGTCTTTTGGTCTTTTATAGCAGTTCGTTTTGGTTGAGTTTTTCTTGGAGCTTGACTTAACGACTAGAGGAAGAATTAAAATCACAGCAAGACTCTGCAAATCCCTGGAGGGCAGGAGATGGCTTTTCTCTTTTAGAACTATGGTAGTGTCTAAAGCCACCTTAAGATTCCATGCATAGTTCTTGAATTTAATTTTCAACTTAGTTTCTAAATTCCTCTGGTCACCACTCACTGGGCCCTTCTGCCGATGGCCACTTTCTCTTCTCCTTGTCTCCCCCACCACCGTTAATCTTAAAGAATAGCAACTCTTTCCACTGTTGTGTTTCTCTTTCTAAAAATTGTATAGGGAAAATTCAGGGCAGTAGGACGGATTGAAAGCATCAGAGACGCGTGCAGAGTCAGGGTCGCTGTGCTGATTTTGCAGTAACAAAGTCCGAAGCCCTGGTGCTTGCCCTCAAGTGCTTGCACAGCCTGTGGGTAAAGTGGATGTAGAGAGCTGAAAAGTGCAGGGCTTGCTGTGGGGTAGCAGGGCAGGGATTGGGGGACACATTAAGGAAGGCTGTGGCCAGCATTACGTGCAGGGATTAGTGTTGGCCTCACTGGAACACCAGGGCAGGCTCTTTGAGGTCGTTTGCCCCAGCAGTTGGGGAAGGGAGAAGGAAATCCCTAAGACTTTGTGTGTTGACCCTAACAAGAAGGAAGAGTGCTCCCTTGGAGAATTTGATGAGTATTGATTAAGCGATCTGGCTGGGACAAGCGTGTAGTACAGTGGTTAGTGTGTGCCTTGGTTTGAATCCTAGCACCCCACTCCTGATTCCACCTTCCTGGTCACACCCACCTTGGGAGGCAGCAGGTGCTTGCTTAACTATGTGGGTCCCTGCCATTCATGTGGGAGACCTGGACTGAGTTCCTGGCTTCTGGCTTTGGCCTGGTACAGCTCTGGCTATTGTAGACATCGGGGGAGTGAAGTAGCAGACAGGAGATCTGTTTCTCTCTGTCCCCTGCCTTTCACATGAGATAAATGAAGAAATGTTGTAACGCTTTGGGAGCAGATGCCTGTGTACACTGTGAGTGGCACTAGGTGTGGTGGACAGGCCACACTTTGGGAAGGAGGAATAGGGAAGTGCATCAAAGCCAGGTAGCAGGTGTGCTGACGGGACTGCATGTCTCGGTGAAGCCGGAGAGCAAGCAGAGGTGGAGCAGGGCATTTGAGCGGGTGAGCGGCCTGGAAGAGCACTCTCAGGAGGATGGACAGAGTGAGACATGTGGCTGCGAAGAGTCTCAGCATGTGACCTTGAGCATGTTTGCATGACCCAAAGGCCCTGTGCTTGGATCTCTTCCCTACCGCTAGGCTGTCTTATCCTCCCCCCCCCCCCCCCCCGCCCCGTCTTAGTATCTGACCAAGACCTCACAACTCCATTCCACACCACTGTCCACCAGCTCGAAGTCGTCCACCTTGGACTAATCACACTTGTGACGCCAGGATCCCATATATGGAACCTTTGAAACTCAGTCCCTCCTGTACCATGCTGAATTGATTTTTCTTTCTTCCATTTTTATCTCATAATTTAATTTGACAGGCAAAGGAAGAGACAGAGAGTACATGAGCGAGCTGCCATCTGCTGGTTTACTCTCCAAGTGAACTTGGCCCACAATGACCAGGGGTAGGCCAGGCTGAAGCTGGGAAGCCGGGAAGCCAGTCAGGGTCTCCCACGTAGGTGACAGGAACCCAGTTACATGGGCCATCACCTACTGCCTCCCAGGGTCTCCCTTACAAGGAAGCTGAAATTGGAAGCTGGAGCTAGGACTGGAACCCAGTCACTCTGATACGGACATCTTAACCTAAGTGCCAACTGCCCTCCCCTATTCTTTTAGTCCATTTCACAAACTCATCACCCTTTGTAACCGTATGTTTCTATGGCTTTACCTCTTAAGTAAGAAACCACTTGAGTCCAAAGATTATTTTGTTCCTTTTGGGAAGCTAGAAAATTATCTGTCGCTCTTATGTGCTAAGTATTTGTGGAAAGAAGGAAGGACGAGTTGGAAGGCAGGGAATAGGAAGTTGCAGTTGAGGGAAGGAAGGAATTGGAGACTGGAATCATGTGGTTTTCCGTGTGAACTCGATGGCAGTCCAAGCTGGGGTGGGAGACCGGGACTCAGCCTGTGGGTACATGAGGAGGTGACCGTGGCACTGACGAGGGAAGTCGCCCCTGATAACAGGGAGCGTCAGGGCAAAAATGTTGAGGATGGGCCGGCACTGCAGCTCACTAGGCTAATCCTCTGCCTGCAGCGCCAGCACCCAGGTTCTAGTCCCGGTCCGGGCGCCGGATTCTGTCCCGGTTGCCCCTCTTCCAGGCCAGCTCTCTGCTGTGGCCCAGGAGGGCAGTGGAGGATGGCCCAAGTGCTTGGGCCCTGCACCCGCATGGGAGACCAGGAGAAGCACCTGGCTTCTGGCTTCAGATCAGCGCAGTGCGCCGGCCGCAGTGGCCACTGGGGGGTGAACCAATGGAAAAAAGAAGACCTTTCTCTCTCTCTCTCTCACTGTCCACTCTGCCTGTCCCTCCCCCCCCCAAAAAAAAAAAAAAAAAGTTGAGGATGGCCTTCCCCAAGGAAGTTGAGCTCATGACAGTTACGGAGGAATTCAGCAGGTGCGGTGGGATGGGTTGGGAAAGCACTTGGTTAGGTCCAGGTCTGCTGAAAACCTTAACTTTTGGTAAATCCTTTGCTTCTGTTGGAAAAAATATTGCAGTGAGAATTGACTCAGACTCTGACTTCTGGACATCCCAGGAGTCAAGTCTTGCGGGGACATCCTCAGGAGGATGAATAACAGAGACAAGGGCAATGATAACTGCCAAGTGCTCACATTCTCTGGTTAGTTCTCACAACAGCCCCATGAGGTGTGTATCATTATTTCTCCCATCTTATCAAGGAGGCTTGGAGTAGTTACATAGCATTTCCAACCCTCACATTCCTCCTAAGTGGGCCACTCGTTACAGCCAACATGCTAGAGCTGACCAACATGCTAGCACCAGGGTGGCTCCCCAGGACTGAGTTCCTCAAACACCAGCAATGGAAACAAGCTTGCGAGTGACCCAGTGCCCGCTGCTACTTGCTCAGGCCACAGACGTTCAACTAAAACCCTACCACAGTGGGAATCTCATACGTTGTACTGCTGCCTTCTGAAACGGGGGTCTTGAGTTTATGGTACGTAAAACAAGAGGGTGAAATGTGGCAAGCAGGGAGAGGGTAGCAGCAGAATGCCTTCAGCTTGGGGAGCATAAATAATGCTGCCTGCAGTGACCTAAGAGTACCTTTCAGCCTTTGATCGGGGAGCTGGGATGGTGCTGCTGTGAGAGGTGTGAGTGATGAGAAAATTTATTCTGCTTACTGGGGAGAAGCGAACCTATAGGGACTGTGGAACAGGAACTAACAAAACACTTGAGGGTACGCAGGGTCCTTCCTCGAGAGATTCTTGGGGTTGGATCCTCTTGCTTCTGCGACAGTGTCTTTTCCTTGGTGCCTTCTGCCGGGGGGCCTCAGGGGCCTTCTCGGGCTGGTCTCGCCTCCGGAGAGGGGAGAGGACCTGCTTCCTCAGCCAGTGGAAGAATCTCCCAAAGTTCAGGCAGAAGATGGTGTGGGTGTTGGGAGGAGTGGCCTTGCCTCGCGGGTCCTCCTTCTCCAGCTTCTCCAGTGAGATAAAGGAGGTCAGCGACGCATTTGTCCTTTGGCTGCCAGTTGCCTGGGCTGTCATCTGCTAGGAAGGCAAAGGATGGATCGGTTAGGCGTAATGTCGACAGCAGTGGAGTCTGGGCTTTCTCAAACCATTTTACCCACGTAGCCCAACTGCACAGGCGAAGTGTCAACAGTCATTAATGCCTGCACGCATCATTCTTGCTACAATTGTTAGCCCTTCTCTCTGACCTGCCCTCCTCTCTCCGTCTGCATACCTCACTATTTTCCCTCCAGCTGCACCCTGGCTCCCTGCCTTGCTGTTGTCTCTCTCCCACTGCTCGCCATGTCAGGTGCCCAAGGAACCAGCCTCGCCGCACAATAGGTGAGAAGGCCCCATGCGGTGCACCTGTCCGCACCAGGCCCATCCCTCCTTCTCCCTGGGAAGATCTGCACGCTCATCTCAGCAGATTCATCTTCCGTAAGCCTTCGAGGGATGTCTGGGGACTGAATGACATCTTCTGGTGACCTGAGCCTGAGTGAGTCTTGACCGGTGTCACGTTCTTGAGGACCGACCTGAGCCAGATGTGGAGGGGAGGTGCTGGACAGCCGGGAGTCTTCCTCCTCTGTAGATGCAGGGGACACGGAGTCGTTCTCTTCATCATTTTTCTTGTTTTCTAGGAACGTCTCCAGCTTTTGCATTAGATCACCCAGTTTGCTGAGAGTCCGTTTTGTGCTCTCTGCTGGGTACTTGTCTGTCCACTGCTGGTCACCGCTTCGAGCCCAGTTTGTTCTTGTGTCTTCACAGTCAGAGTCCACATCAATGTCCCAGGCCAGAGCGATGCTCAGTTTACAGAACTGCTCAGGGCTGTCCTTCACTTGGTCTCGGCGCAGCACGCGTCTCCTTGTGCTTTCCGTCTGCCATGTCCCTTGAATAGGAGGCAGCAGGTGGACTGAGGAATCCACAGAAGACGAGTCAGCGTAGGAGGGCGTGTCCGAGTAGAAGCTGTGCTCACAAGGGAAGTAGCCTATGGAGAGGCTCAGGTTGGACGTGCGGTCAGAAATGCAGTCCTCTGTGTCGCTGTAGTCGCTGCAGTGTTGGGAGTTCGCCATGGAGTTCAAGGGCGGAGATCCAAGGTTTCCCGTGACTCTGAATCTTCAAAAGAAAAAAAAAACAAACAGGAGGTATGGGGGAGAAGAAGAGAGTGATAGCACTTAAGCAATACCGTTATCCATTCTTTATTCCGTGTGGCACTACCCAGATAGAAGTTCATCCTGTTTTTGCCCTCTCCGATGGGGGTCGGGAAAGGTATTCCTCTGTCTTACAGAAGAACCCTGTCTGCTAGGCCTCTCCACCCGGTTCCGCTCACCATCCGTCTTATTACAGTTGGAGGAACCTGTATCATAAAAGAAAAAGATGAATGTTGTGTAAGATTTGGAAAATACGGAAAGGTACCAAGGTGGAAATAAATACATCTATGATTTCAGCATCCAGAGAGAATGATAGTCATTATTAAAAGTTGGATTGACTTCCTTATAATCTTTTTTCTTTATATATACAAGTATGTAACCGTGTATAGTATACATTTATACATATATTCCCACATCCTTAAATATGTAGGCATAACATCAGTGAAAACTCAGATTATTAAATTTTATGCCACAGCCTACAGTAAACATTCATAGCCATTCTGTACTTTTTAATTTACTTTCTTATTCATTATTAATTTATTAATTTAATCTTACTTCTTATTCATGACTATTCATTGATTACCTATTAATGATCACTGTATGATTAAGACCATTACTACTTATTAATGGCCATCTGTTGTAAATCTGCTGTGTCTCTTATTTGTTTTCCTGTACTTTCCTGTAGGGAGAACAAAACAAATATCACAAGTGTATTAAAAGCCTGTGACAGCACCAAATTGCTTTCCAGATAGGTTATAGCCGTTCATACGCCCATCTTTCCTGATGACATTGTTATTTCAGTCCAGCTTTCCTGAGGTGCCCCAGAAGCTTGAGAGGATGGAAGAACACACACTTGCATAGGCACATCATGTACACACACCCAGACCGTCACGCTCTTGCCCTGGGGGTTCCCCGCATGGACGGACGAGGTGCCACCAACTCCTGAACCAGAGGACGGTAGAGATCCTGCAGGCGCTGTGCCGCAGTGGCTGAAAGTCCAACTGTCAGAAGTCTGTGTTCTGAGACTGTTGGTTACCATGGCAACACAGGGGGCATCGCCTCCCCCCCAAGTTTTAGCCAACAGTGTGGCAAGAGGAGGTACTTCCAGAATATTCTGTAGCCATACTATACAGGGCTCAAAAGGACCCCTCTTGAGGACAGAAGGACAACTGTAGGGGTGGTTGCTTCTCTCTGGTCAGGTGGGTATCTAAGATGCTTCTGTCCGTGGGAAACATGGAGCCTGTTTGGTGCGATGGACAGAAGTAGGACAGAGTGATCAGTGCAACAGCAGCTAATTCATGGACAAGCGAAAGATCCCTTGCAACCTGGGCTGGGGTCAGGATGGAGATAACAGGAAAGACCTGGGGGAGTTGTCTGCTGATCTGTGTGTTGATGGAGGAGTGGGAGTTAGCGAAGTGAAGAGAGGTGAGGCTTGGGTAGAGGGTGTGGAAGAAGGGAGATCACACACGATGATGTCCCTAGGGTCCGTGAGGCCGTAGAAGGCCATCCACCTGTTAAGGAGCTTGGTGTTCAGCCTCTTAGCCTAGACACTTCCACAGGATGGTGGTGTTCCTTTTTCAGTTCATTCTTCCTGGCAATTCAGAGTACGCTGAATTACTTGACAGGTTTAAAACAAAGCTTCCATTGACTGGACAGCGTGAACACGATTGGTTGACTTGAATGAGAATGGGCTCAGTGGGGTGATGGGACAGGAGCCAGACTGCACAGGGTTGAGGAGTGAATGGGAGGAGTGAGTATGGGCGTACTCGAGGGCTGTCTGAACCAGAAAGGGAGAGGATGAAGCAGAGTCGAGGGTTGGTTTCTGCACCTCTTTCCCAAATAAGCGGGAGCTAAGGAAGCAGTCCAGGGGGGAGCTTTGCAATAGAAGAGGGTGCGGATTCTTTGGTGGGGGCTGGGGTGGGATTGTACGGCGTGGTGGGCAGATTTTGCCTATTGTCCCCCGAGCAGGAGAGAAGTGAGCTTGCTGAGGCCCAGTGACAATGCGTCGCGAAGGCCTCTCTTTGCTTTCTGCCAGGTTTCCCTGTGGGGCTTGCGTCCGTCTTGGCGTCTGTGTACATCAGTTCTGTTGGCGGGGTCGCTGTCCTTGTCCCCTGTGCACACGTGTCATCTCTAGCCCCGGCCCTTCCAGCCCTGTGGCTTGGCTCTTCCTTGCTCTCCATGCCCACTGGGCCCTCGGTTGCTGGCCAAGCCCTTGCTCATCTTGGCCCCGCATTCCAGGCTGCTTACGTCTGTGGGGAGCAGCCCGGACTTAGACTAAGTTACTGGAATTAAGACTTATTCTATGCATCTGCTCTCCCACAATATGGCGCTGGGAGAGAAGAAAACAGTTTCTACACAGCTGCCTCCAGTTCAGCCAATAAACTGTAGGACCTGCTCCTGATTGGAGGAGAGCAGCGTACTCGGCGTGTGGGCAGCCGAGCACGGATTGGCGGAGGAGGACTATAAAGGAGGAGAGAGACGGCATGCACCAGGAACATCTAAAGGGAACATCTAAGGGGAACACCTGTGCAGCCCCCGAGAGAGCCGGCCGGCGGTGTGCTGCTCCCCTGCGGAAGTGGGGAAAGTGGCAGGGGGAACCGCCCTTCCACGGAGGTGGAAGGGACAGTAGCCAACCCGGGAAGAACCAGCAGCAAACCCGGGGAGGGCCGAGCAGACGAAAGAACAGCGCAGGGTCCTGTGTCGTTCCTCCACGAAGAGGGGGAGCGACATAATGGTGCCGTGACTCGGATATGAAGCCTAGGCAGGGTTCAGTGTCGTTCCTCCATGAAGAGGGGGAGCGACATAATGGTGCCGTGACTCGGATAGGAAACTTAGGAGGGAAGAAACGGGAAGAAATGGGAAAATACCAGAGAGAGAGACTAGCAAACAGCCTAGGGAAAAGCCGGACGAAAAAGGTGCCGGAAGAAGCTATTGAAAGCCTAGGCATAGACTCAGATACGGACTATGGGGGGAAGCTGGGAGAAATCTCTAAGGGCGAAAGCGAAAGTGAAAGCTAGAACAAACAGACTCAGATACGGACTGTGGGGAGAAGCCAGGAGAAATGAGGGAGGAGTATTGTTGGAGGAAAGCTTGGGGAAACATACCGGGTAGAGAAAAATGTTAGGGAAATTGAAGCTGCGGGGGCAGGCCGAGGCGGAGACGAAAGCCACTTTGGGATTCTCAAGTTAGCCCGGGAATAGGGGGCGAAAAGTTAAAACCAGAAGCGGAAACGTAAGCCCGGTTGGGATCCGTCTGATTAGCCCGGGGAGCAAAGGACGGGAAGCCAAATCGTGGGGCGGAGACGTGAGCTGGGTTGAATTCGCCAGGTTAGCCCGGGGAACTTGGATTGAATGCTAGTGGCGGAGACGTAAGCTACGCTGTGTGACTCGCGGAGGCTGCCGTGCGCAGAGAGAGCGTGCGGGGCACAAGTAGATAGGGAACGCTGGGCTAGTGCGAGACCGCGGAGTGTGCGCGCGAAGCCGAGCCGCGCAGAGCCGCGAAGCCGCGCAGATGAGAGAAGCGGGCTGAAGCGGCTCAGCCGGGAAGCCGCCGAGAAGCAGCCTCGGGGCAGGCGCCGGGAAGCCGCGGGGATAAGAGAAACAGAAGTTTAGAAGTAAAATGAGAGAAATAGGAATGCTGGAAGATAGAAGTAAAATGGGAGAGATAGGAATGCCCGGAGATAGAGAAATAGAGAAGTAAGGCCTCCCCACAGCATGGCAATGAGAGAGCTTGGATTCGGTCTGCCTGATTAGGAAGGCGGTGAGCACCTGCGGGCGGCTAGCAGCTTATGCGCCGCAGGTCACCGAAGACAGGCACGAATTAACATCAATAAGGCCTCCCCACAACACAGCAATGAGAGAGCTTGGATTCGGTCTGCCTGATTAGTAAGGCGGTAAGCACCAGCAGGCAGCTCGACCAGAGTATGAGCTGCAGGTCACCGAAGATAGGCACGAATCAACACCAATAGGCCTCCCCACAATATGGCAATGAGAAGGCTTGGATTCGGTCTGCCTGATTAGTAAGGCGGTAAGCACCAGCAGGCGGCTCGACCAGAGTATGAGCCGCAGGTCACCGAACACAGGCACGCATCAGCGCCTAAAAACCTCCTCACAACATGGCGAAGAGAGGACCCGGATTCGGTTTGCCTGATTGATAGGACTTGTAAGAACCTGCGGGCAACTCTAGCAAGCAGAGCAGAGTGTGTGCCACGGGACACCGAAGACAGGCGTGTATCAACGCCAAAAAATAAAAAGAAAGGGGGATCTGTGGGGAGCAGCCCGGACTTAGACTAAGTT